TGTCTGCATATAGAAGAATGCACATAGATTTATATTTACTATGCTGCACAAAATTAAAGTCCAAGTGGATCAAATACCTCAACACAAAATCTGATACACTGAACCTGATAGAAGAGAAAATGGGGAATAGCCTTGAATGCATTGGAACAGGAGATGATTTTCTGAACAGAAAACTGATAGCTCAGGAATTAAGATCAACAATTAATAAATGTGACCTCATGAAACAGAAAAGCTTCTTTAAGGCAAAAGACACCATCAATACGAGACAGTGGCAGTCTACAGAATGGGAAAAGATTTTTAACAACGCCACATCTAATAGAGATATCAACAAACAAACAAGCAAACAAACAAACAAACAAAACCCCAAATATTCCAATTAAAAATGAGGCATAGATCTAAACAGAAAATTATCAATAGTGGACTCTCACGTGACTGAAAAACATTTAAAGAAGTGTTCAACATCCTTAGTCATTTATCAGATAATTGCAAATCAAAATGACTCTGAGATTTCATCCTACATCTATCAGAATGGCCATGATCAGTAACACAAATGACAGTTCATGTAATCCAGAATGTGGAGAAATGGGAATACTTTTCCATTGTTGGAAACTAGTACACATGGAAATCAATATGACAGTTTCACAGAATGTTAGGAATTGATCTACCTCAAGATCCAGCTATGCCCATGTGAACAAAGGATGTTTCATCCTACCATAAGGATATTGCAGATTTATTTCTAAGAAAAAACTGAAAACAACATAGATGTCCCTCAACAGAAATTAGAATAAAAACAAAACTGTGGTACATTCATACAATGGAGTATTACTCAGCTAATAAAAAACTAACATCATGAAATTTGCAGGCAAATCCATAGAACTAGAAAAAAAATTATCCTAAGTGAGGTTTCCCTGACTCAAAGAGGCAGATATGGTATGTATTCATTAATTAAATTAAAATAAGTAATAAAATAAAATTAATATTAAATTAAAATAGAAATTAAATACTAATTTTTTAAATAAATGATAAATAAACTAAATTATATTAAGGAAATGATGACCAATCCAAAAAGGAAGGGTCTAGAGGTGAATCAGGGTTCTCCCTAGGATGGAGTAATAGAATACACTAGTAGCAGGTGGGGTCAGGAGCAGGGAATCAAGTAGCAATGAACGGCCATGGGGTAGAGGGAGAGATTATGGGTAAAAAAGCTGGAAATGGGGGATATTTGGGGAGTGGTGTGGAAACCTACTGCAGTGGAAAGAAAATTCCTGGAATTTATCTACAAATGTAATCTTATTGAAGACTCCTAGTAATAGGGGATATGGAGTCTAAGCTGGCTATCTCTTGTAGCCAGGCTAGGTTTCCAACATCCAGACTGGACTGTATTTAATTGAATTGTTGGCCAGGGGTTTGGATTGCTGTTGCTAAGACAGGATTGCTCTCTACAGCAATGGACAGCATAATCCCATTGTTGAGTACAACACCCACACCTCCTTATTGAATTTGGAAATGTCAAACTGGTACCTATGTGGAGCCTGTTTTATCCATGTACAGGAAGATATTCTGCAAGCTACCAAAAGAGAAACCAAGCCACAAAACCTTTGACCTACAATCTCCTAATAATCCATGTAAAATACACTAGGATAATGAATGATGACACAGAACTCGTGGGAGTAACCAACCAGAGTCTGATTTGACTTAAAGCCCACTTAATGAGAAGGAACTCATGCTTAATGCTGCTTGAGTAACCAAGAACCAGAGACTAGATAGTAAGGACACCTAGGGTAAAACCAAACACTACTATTCTTTAAAAATTCAACAAAATGATTCCTAATGATACATAGACCAGTGTCTTATACAGTCATCATCAGAGGTGCTTCTTCCAGTAACAGAAGGGAATAGATGCTGAGATCCACAACAGATGCAGAAAGAGAGTCTAAATTTGAAGGTCTTCATCAAATTTCTTCCGTCAGAGCTCAGGGTATCCCTTAGAAAAGGAAGCAGAAAACTTTTAATAGGCAGAGGGTATAGAGGACACCAGGATAAAAAGGCCTTCTGAATTAACTAGTAAGGTACATATGAGTTTACAGCGACTGAAGCAGCCAGCAGAGGACCGACACGGGCATACACCAGGTCCTCTGCATATATAGTATAGATTTTTAGCTTAGTATTTCTCTGGGGGCCCTGAATCTGACTGTGAGTGGGTCTCTGACACTTGTGCCTGTTCTTGGGACTCTTTGCCTCCTATTGGGTTGGCTATGTCCAATTTTGATATAATAATTTAGTATCTTTTAATTTTGACATGTTTGGTATCTCTTCTAAGCCTGTTCTTTTCTAATGAGAGACAGAAAGGGAGTGGAGGGGGAATGATGAGGAATTAGAGGGAGTAGAGAGAATGGAAACTATAATCAAGATATATTATATGAGAAAAAAATTTATTTTCAATGAAAGAAAATATACATATAAATACAAAATGCATAGCTTTGGCAAATAATAAAGCCAAATAAATTGTTTTTCCTGACTAATATGTATTTCATTAATAATGGAATTAAATTTTACTTTTTAAACTATCCTTTATAAGATATTTGGAAATCATGGAATGATAGCATCAAAATTCAATAATTCATAAATTTTCTTTACAAGCTTTTTACAAGCAGTGACGTGTTTAACTGACTTCATAATTTAAATAACACTTCATTCTTTCATCATTTTATGGGTACAAAGGCTGGTTTTGACACTGTATTGTGCTAATGTATAGATTTTTTAATGTTTTACATCTTAAGACCTTTTCATTGGACTGAATTATTACGTTGCAGTGTCAATAATAGATTATTCTACCTATGTAGGTCTATCAAGGAAGGACTTTGGAACAAAAATGGGATGAAATTTCCAAATATGGCTGTTCAGGTGTTTACATTAAAATAATAACTAAGAAAAGATATAGCCAAGGACAAGTGAATATCACTTTTTGCACTGTATCCCAGCACTCCTGAATTAGAAGTATTTCTGAACACAAGAAGTCCCCAGGTAGCCAGACGATGGTGTCTTATGCCTTTTTTTCACAGCACTCAGGGAGCTGAAGCAGGCAGATCTCTGAGTTCAAGGCCGGCCTAATCTACAGAGTGAGTCTCAGGACAGCCAGAGTTACACAGAGAAACCCTATCTCGAAAAAAATGAGAGCCAGAGAGGAGAGATAGGGAGGGAGGGAGAGGGAGAGAAAGAAAGAAACAAAGAAGTACATAAGTAATAAAATCAAAGAGAGTTAGTATGGCAGCATGAAAGAAAGGTCTTTTTGAGCAATGAGCTTGACTTTTAGAGGAAAAGTCCAGAGACAGTGATTATCAAACTACTGAAGATATGAACTGAGTCTAAGCATGTATACAAGACTTTTGAAACATATTTTCAGAAATCATGTCACAAGACTGATGGAAACCTTGATATATATGAAACACAAGTGGAAAATGTTTTTAATGTAACAAATATTGTGTAAAAGGAAGAGGTCCTGAATTCATGGGTGCAACGATAGCTTCCAGGCTGCTTATTGCAATCCAGTTTCCTGATTGTCGGTGCATAAGAGTGTCACGGAAAATGGAGTTTGGGTTGGGTGAGAACTCAAGGTTGTTTTAGCAACCTTGAGTTGTTGAATTCTTTCTTTCATCTGCTCATCTTGCCTTTCTTGGAGGTCCCCTTTCTCCATCCCTCCTCTCTTCCTCCCTTCCTCATCTCTCCAAACCCTCCTGTACCTACTCTGTGTAACATCAGCCTTCTTTCCTGTCTTCATTTCTTCAATTCTTTTTTCTTTCTAAACATGTAAGTTTAATATTACTGGCTGTTTTGTAGGAAATACTGGCTGTGTTTTTATAAAATTCAGGGTTACACAATTTGTGTCAGAGGTCACAGAAATTGCTGTTTCCAGATGGTAAAAATGCCTTGGAAGCCACTGTGGTTTTGTTTTTTGTGGAAAATAGACTATGGGGAAGCCACCAGCGCAGGTTGGCTTTTCTCGGGTGGCCTTCTGTAGATGAGGAGCAACTGATGGTTTTGTTAAGCCTTTGAAAAATAAGCCTCAAAGTTGCTTAATTACGTTAAGGCAAAAGGATAGTATGATTTGAAAAGAACATTAGTACACTTTCTGTGAGGAGGAGCTGAAATAATTTTTGTTGCATGTAAGCAAAACACATTTCTTAAAGACATAAAAGTATTTGGCACTCATTGGATGTCATGTGCTCACTCTAAGCCTCCTAGAGACAAAAGAAAAATATATAGCTAAGCAGTTTATGTTCATAGGAATGCAGAAAAGATCAGCCTGAAAAATTATGCCACCCAAATGGGAATAAAACAAATGGCACCAGCTAGAACTCAAAGGCAGACACTTCAAGGCACCTCTGTAGGCATTAATTACATTCCTGGTGGTGGAAAAGCATCAAATAAGACTTTGAACACTCAGCCCCAGGCCTGACTATACCATGCAAGCTCACATCTGCCCTAAATTAGAGGGACTTACACAATGCAAAAAAAAAAAAAAAAATAGGACACACAAGAGCCTTGGAGTCCCGCCCGACCTCACATCTGATCCATTTGAATCAAGTTCAGAGGACTTTCTGTATGCTGAAAATGAGTAAAAGAAGCTTGAGACAGGGGCAAGAAATCCTACTACTTTAAAAGTTTCTTTCTTTTTCTTCTCTTAAAAAGACATATGGAAGAAAGGAGCAAAGAGAAAACAGGGAGTGTAGAGGGGTTGCCAGACAGAAACCGGACTCAGTGAACTGTGGATTCAGGAGGGAAAAGCCAAAGGAACAATGAAAAACAAGTTACTAAAAATGAATCTGAATTTTGATGGCAAATGGAGAGGGCCACTGAGCAAAACTATTTTATGAAATGCTTTGTAATGGACAGTAGCTGAATTAATGAGTGTCTGTTATGGACACAAACTCCAAGTGTACATTTGTCTATTCATCCCAGGAATGGAACTATAACTTTGTGAACTTATTTGTCTTTTGTAGTTTGCAAGACACATCAAAAAATCTGAAGGCCAGAAGATTCCTAAAGTTGAATTGCAAATATCAATTTATGGAGTAAAAATTCTCGAACCCAAAACAAAGGTAAGGCTTGTTTTTGAGAGTCATGCTGTCTTACTCTTGAACCAGTTACAATTACATCTGTTCTCATTGACATTAACTTTTATTACTAACTTAAAATGATTGGTTCTTGGTGATTTCTTTAAATATGTGCAGGAATTGGGGGAAAGGGAACAGCCTTTGGAATTTTGATGAGGTTGTCTGTTCTGTAGCCTGTGTCCCACACTTAATAACTTAAACTATATTCAGTAGCAGTACAACCCATATTTAGAAATTTCTTTTTTGTTATTATTAAATTTGTTTATTTATTCACTTTAAAAGCCAATATCAGCCCTTCTTCTCCTTCCAGTACCCCCTCACAAAAGTCCTCCTCCTATTCCACTTCACCCTCTTCTTTTGAGAAGGGGAAGCCCTCTCTGGGTGTTATGCCCCTCCCTGCCGCCACCTGCTGAGACAAGGCACATCCTTTCCAACTGAGGGCAAATAAGGCTGTCCATTTAGCAGTGAGAATCCACTGGCAGGTTAAGCAACAGGCTCAGGGACAACCCTTGCTCCAGTTGTTGGGGGATCCGCATGACGACCAAGTTGCTCATCTGATACATGTGCAGAAGCCTAAGTCCAGCCTGTGCTCACTCTTTGGTTGGTGATTCAGTCTCTTGGAGACCCCAAGAGTCCAGCGGAGATGACTCTATTGATCTTCCTGTGGAGTCTCTGTCATCTTTGGGCCCCTCAATCTTTCTCCCAACATTTATGTAAGGCTCACAAAGCTCTATCTAATGTTTGGGTGTGAATCTCTGCATCTTTCCTTTAGCTGCTGGGTGGAACCTCTCAGAGGATGGTTATGCTAGATTCCTGTCTACAAGCATAATAGAGTATCATTAATAGTTTCAGGATTGGTTCTTCCCCATGGGATGGTTCTCAATTTGGGGCATTCATTTGTTGGTCATTCCCTCAGTCTCTGTTCCATCTTTAACCTTGCACATCTTGTAGGCAGGACACATTTGTGTTCTAAGGCTTTGTGGCTGGGTTGCTGTCCTTATCCTTCCACTGGAGCTATAGGAAGTATAACCTTCTCTTTTCCTTGCTCTCCCTATATATGGTTCCCTGTCTCGCTCCCCTCCCTATTCCCTCTTCCATCCAGTTCCCTCCTTATATCAACGTCAAGATTTCTATTCGCTTTATGTGAAAGATGTATATGTTATCATTTGCTGGGTATGAAAGAAGACAAAAGCTGTGCAATGTACTAAAATGTCCTGCCTTGTAGACACCACTGATGCGTATATGTTTTCTATGACTTTTATTTTTCTTTTATTATATACCAAAATGCCAAAGGCTGGGTAACTTAAACAATAGCATTTGGTTTCCTTTGAAGTTTGGGCCTAGAATCCCAACATTAATATCCACATATTCAGAAGCTCAATTTCTTCTGTGACCTCTCTCTTGTCTCGGATGGTTGGCTGCTATATCTGACCATGTACACTGCACTTCATATCCTTTGCCTGTCTGGGTTTTCCTTGTTTGTTTGTTTTTAATAAGGGCATGAGATTTAACTTATGATTACACAGTGCCTTTATTTAAACTGAATTAATTGTATAATTGCCTTATCTCTAATTAAAAGCAAACCTTAAGACAAATAGTTTTATATATTAATTATATAATAATATATTTATATAACTATATTTTTATTATATATAAGATAATTGATATATAAATAATATATCATATATAAATATATGATGGTATATATTTATATATTTATATATAATTACATGTTAATACACATTAATCATATACAATAATGGGCTTCAGTATAACATTATCATGCATGTGTACAGTGTATTTTGGTTATAGTTACTCCAATTATTTTTTTCTTGCTTCCTTCTTATTCCAAATGGTTCCTTCCTTTGCCTAATCAAGCCTCCTTCTACTTCTATCTTTCTTTTCTCCCAAAGAGTGTTATTATTATCATTGCTTACAGAAACTGGATGAGAAGATATTCACTTTATCATTTATTATCCACCTGAAGATAAGATTTCTCCTTTCACCAAAGACTTTTCACTGCTCACAAGATTTGTGTTAGGACAAATCTTGTGCAGGTCATATATAGGTATTCATTGCTGCTCTGAGTTCAGCCTGCAACAGGCATATCATACCCAGAGCCTCAGTATCCCACAATTCTCCACCCCTTCCTGCAAGGTTCTTAAATCCTTTCTGCTCCATCTCCTGTAAGGCTCCATGAGTCCTCAAGGGAAAAGTATAAGTGTATAATTACAAATGTGAACTCAACAGTTACTTTTCCTCATAATTTTACTATATAAATGAATACAGTATGATATAGTATTATATAACTATATAAGTCCATATAGCTACCACTGCACTACAAAAAACTGGAGCTTTTGTGGCTCAAACTGACAGCACTAATTTATGGGCAAAAACATAGCAATTTAGGAGATTAATTTAATGACACACGTGTCCATTTAGCAAACAGCATCAGTAATTTCATCATTAGGACTTATGACTTCCATGGCTATGGGCTTAAACCAGGTTTACAATACTAGAAAGGAATTACCTCCTGTTGTACAGACTTCAAATCCAATCAGAAAATGTTTGATTTTCTCTATAATATAGACTTGGTACAATTGTACCAGTGGACTTGTCTTGCCTGTCCAGTTGATTCTACAGTATTCAAAGGTTTCACTAAGAAAGACTGCATGATAATTCTACCTTAGCAGCCTGTATAGCACCTGCTGGCACTATGAGAACAAGTCAGTAGGATTGACACTCCCAGCCAATGTCTAGATTGAATTTTTTCATATCCTCAGAGTGAAGCATCTTCAGCCATAAAGTCTTAATCATCTAGTTCTGCTGGACATCAAACAACAGTGGTAATCATCTGTTTATTTGGGAGTTCTCAGGGGAATCCATGACCAACAACTCACAGAAAGGTAGCCTATCTCTGACACATGGATTTTCATTTAATAATCTGTCCTCTGGGAACAGCTTTATCTACATATGCAGGGTTCTTCCACTTAAACTCATTGTTATTACACTTCACTTTTAACTTATTTTACCAATTGCCAGGCTTCCTTGTGGCATATTCATACACTATAGTTTTAGTTGTTTTTCTCTGAGAGCTCCTTTGTTTCCTCCCTATCCCTACCACTCTCTCCATTCAATTATTGCTACTCCTAGCATTTTTCCCTTGAAAGTAGAAAGGTCAGAATCATATTGTATATTTTCTAACCAAATAAGTCATGAATCAGATAGCACTCCCAATAATTCACCATGGTGAGCAATGAGGCTTAAGGCCAAATGTAAACATGGTAAAGAGTATGGCTAGATGTATGCTTTATTTGGATATGTTGTGATGAGCTAGTGCCCATGGAACATAGCAGTATGGAATTGACTGAAGTTGCACTGTTTGTTATATGAATTGGTAAGTCGTGTACATACTCTTAGCATGTAATTGGTTAGGAAAGAAATTGAATAAGCAGACAGCCTCAATTTCATGAGCTCCTTCTTGTTTCATTAAACATTTCCAGTACAATCATAGTTTACCATATTGGAAATTAGCTCTTCAGGTAGAAGTAAGGGTAGTACTTGGAATAGTTACATTGCAATTACTTGACAAAACTGCAAAAATGAAGTCTAAGGTCCAACATTGCCTAAATTTATTTCTTAAAATTTATTTTATTTTATGTGAATATCCTGCACGTGTGTCTGTAGCACCACCTGCATGCATGGTGCTGACAGAGGCCAGAAGAAGTCCTTAGATCCCTGAAACTAGATTTCATATGTTTGTGAACCTCTATGGCAATGTTGGAAATCAGCCTTGGGTCTTCTGGAAGAGCTAAGTGACTTATTTACTTTATGATCTCTCCAGCCCTGTAATCCTAATCTTTGACTATATTTGTAAATAGTTGAGGATTTTAGCATGGATGAACATGTGGTTCCTCTTCCTAGATTCAATGGTATGGAACAATGATGTCCTTTTCAAATCTAAGGCATGAGTTTAAGATTTATTATTACACCTTATAGTGTTTTCTTATTTCATCACCTCAACTGAACAACAAGTAAAGATCTGAAGTGTTCTATTATAGCTGTTGCAGTACAACTACTGCAAAATCAAAGGAGAGAAGTTATGGAGAGTGGAAGCAGGATTCCAGTGCACCATGAAATATGTGTAGTTTGCTTATACAGAAGGTAATAAAACTGAGGCTTATTTCCCAAACAGGTGCCTTGGCTGAGGAAAAATTCATTAGGCAAATGACAGGCACAAAAAGGACAAGAAATTAATAAGCTCAGAGCACCACTATAACATATGTGTCCTGCAATCTTCTTAGTTTCTATCAGTGAATATTTAGGATGATCTAAGTACTTCATTATTATGTACTTAAATATTTAGGAAATACAATTATGATTAAATAGTGTATGTACAGAAAATTTCTTTAGTGCCGTGATAATCTTGTATCCTTAGAAATGTATAAAAACTTAAGCCACATTTTGTCAGTCATTACTGATATGTGTAATGGTTCTGTCCATGTGTAAGACTGAGGAAGAGTGCATGTGAATCAGTGTTATCAGCAGTAGGTGAGAAAATTGTGGTTCTACATTGTAGCTTTTTATTTAGCCTGTTATGTACTACATGATCTCAATCTGCGTTTCACAAGATAGCATTTTTATAGACAAATAATGTTGAAAAGCTTTCAAAAAGATTCTTTCAAAGTAAAAGGAAAGAGAGAAGAAAGGAAGGATAGTAATAGTTGATTATTGTCCAATAAAAAATTGAAATAGGCTTTAAGATCAATTTTATTACAGAAAAAAAAGTAGAGTAAAGGCAGCATGGACAAGAGTCTGGAAGTTGTTTACCTGTTGTTTTTCTTGTTATTGGATAACCCTGTTTTCTGACACTGAGAACCCCTCATTGCCAGCCTGTCAATCTGTCATTCTCTTTCCTAAGCTGTTACGGTCAAAACATGGTGCTTTTCACAAGTAAACTCCATTAGTTAAATGTCAGTACAACAGAGTTTGATGGAACAACATTGGTGAATTAACTTTTGATCCTTCTAGACAACCTTACTCAGATCATTGATATCAGTGTTCATCCTTGTCCCAGACCTTCAGCTCATATGTTGAACAGCCATTCTTACAAAGAGCTTATTGTACACTCTCCTCAAAAGTAAGATTTATAAAGCTCATGGGAAAAAAGCATATTCGTGCCTATTCCTCTCCAATCTGAAAAACAATCTTGGGATTTTAAAATCTCTGTTGTCATCTTGTAATCTAATTTTATTGATTCTAAAACTAGAACAACTAGCATTCATATCTGTGCTACAAAGGAACATGTAAATCTTGGCTATATGTACACTCTAGAAGACTTGACTGTATGTATATATAGGAAGACTTCACTGGATGCACACACCAGAAGAATTTAATGTGCATATAGGAAGATTTATCCATATGCACGTATAGGAAGACTTGAATGGGTGTGCATGTACAAAGTGTCATCTTTTTTATTCCATTGAATAAACAAAAGACACTCAAAGTAGGGAGTTACAGGCTCTGTTTAGCATCAGTGTCCCCAGGACACTGCCACAAGGTTAATGTCTAGAATAATCTTGTACCTCTGAGTCATGTGGTATGTGTGAGAGAAAGAAGAGAGAAGAGGTGAGAGGAGGGAAGTAATATCTACTACATTAAACTCTAACTCATGGATTTAAAAACCACTACCCTAAGAGAGATAAATGAATCTGATAATAAAAATCACTTAATTTAGATTGGAAAATATGAAAAAAGGTCAACTAAACATGATGCACTTACATTTATTTATGGATAGTTTTACTTGTAAGAAGAAGGACTGAAAATACATTCTTAATCTAAAATGGACTTTCTTTATACAAAGTATGTTTTATTTTCATTTGGGTGGGGAAAATTGAAATAAATACAATCTCTGTAAGAGTTAGCACCTTTGTTTTCTCATTGCTTTTGATTGTTCTCCAAATGGAGAGTGTGTGGTTCATAAACAGGTGGCACAGAGGGAAATATGTATTGATCGTTTTTATTTCAGTTGTAGTAAAAATGTATGGATTATAAAATATATGTATTTCCTCACTGTATATTGTTTTGTTCTTGATCTTTTTATAGCATCTCACAAAATTAGTTCTAATATCCATGAATTTCATCACAAGGTAGACTGTCTAACTCTATTTTTTTTTAAAAAAAGTAGCTTAACATACAAGAGGCTCTGAGTTCAATCCCTGGTACCTAAAACAAAATCAAACCAAAACAAACAACAAAGGTATCACAAAAGAAAAAAACTTATCCTCGGCTGCAGGATTGAGAGCTGCAGAAGAGAGAGCACACAATCATGTAAGAGCCGGGGAAAAGTGGCCCAACACACACACCTCCATTGGGTCCAGGATAGCAAAGATGAAGTACAGATTTTAGTAAGTAATAATTTACAAGTATTGGAGGGGAGGTGTTACCAACATGGAACATTGGGAGTGGCCCAACCATTGAGATGATTTAGGCATATAAAATATAACACTGCACGTGTGCATGTGTGTGTGCGTGTATGTTTGTGTTTGTCTTTCATTCAATAATCCAGAGCATTTGGGCAGGCAGCTAGGAATTTCTGCATCTGGTACCAGGGAGATTAGAGCAGATTAACCATATGACTGCTACACTCAGCTATCTTGTCTTCTTCTACAAGAAGATGACTTTGCTAACAGTCTTAATTATTTTTGTGTTGTTGTGATAAAATTCTACAACAAAAACAGTGTAAGGGAGTGTTTTTAGCTCACAATTCTTATTGCAGTTCATAATGGAGGAGAAAGCAAGGCAGCAGGAAGGGTCAGGAAGCATATGGCGACATAATATCCGCAGGCAGAAGACAATAATGAAATCATGTTAGTGTTCAACTTCCTACTATACTTTATTCATTCTAGAATGGACTGCCCAAGGAATAGTCTCAGCCATGGCTAAAATGGGTCTTCCCACATCAATTAACGTAATAGACAGAATCTCTACTGGTACATACAGAGGCTAGTTTCCTAGGGTGATTCTGAGGTTATCTCAAGGTAACAATTAACATAAGTCATCACACCAACACAAACAAATATTAGGATAATTCCAAACTGATGACAACCATTACCTTCTGTGATTATACTGGTTGTTGGATGAATGAAAGATGGCATATTCCACCAGTAGCAATAGGAAATATATGTTTTTCATGTTTTTATGTAATTAATTCTATAAGTAAATAGGAATAATAAGCCATTTTTCTGAAGTGTATAATAATAGCTCCTTCTCATCTATCATAAACATAATTGCATAGTTACTAATGATATATACCAGCTATCAGTATTTAGAAACTCCAGCATGTCTCAGGGCTGTTATTTGATTGATTATTTTTAATAAAACAAATATATATGTCAATGTGGAAATTATCAGGAAAAATAGAGGATAGAATCTGAGACACACATGACCATTGTTTATCTAAACATTAAGGGCAAGAAAGAGAAGATACCCTTATGTATAGCCTATTGACAAAGTGAAGAATATGAAAGTAGAAGAGAGACTTTCAGAGAAGAGAAAAGGTGAGGTAGTAGAATTTAAGATGAGCAATGGGAAAAGGCTGCAAGGTGTTATGAAATATCACAGTGAAACCAATTATTTTTTTTACAGTTAGCATTCACTAGTCTTAAAAGCCTCCATAGTACTCTTTTTAGTGCTACTCATCCCTCCTATAGAAGTATATAGATAAGGAATGTCAAAACGCATTAATCATAAAGTATCCTCCTCATTTAATAGTGAAGCTCATTAAGTAGCTCTTCATCAGGGGATAATGCATTACTATAGATTAGCTTAGCATTTATTACCTATGATATTTAAGTTCTCATTTACAGTTTGATCAACAATGTAGAAATAAGAATGATCAATAAAATCAAGCCATGTATGCATGTAAATGAAAACAGATCAGACTCCATGGCATCATTGCTACTAATTTTAACCATAGTCTTTTGAGTTTTTGATTCAAATACAGTAAGTACAAGAAAATGTTTATAGCTGATACTCTGGTGTTTAAAATTGGAAATACATCCACCTAGTCAGCCTTGGATGAAACTATAATCACTTCCACCTATAATCTTTTACAATACCCACTAAATATTGTGGGTGACTAGAGTCTCTGACTGATATTCTGTGTTATAATGAACCTTAAAGTAAATGATGCAAATTGCCAGAATAGAAAGCAGAATGATTATTTATTTTGTTATCATCAATTCATAATTAAATAAAACATAAGAATTTTTCAACTGCAACATGTTTCAGAAAACTATGTCAATAAGTAGACAATAGTGATTATGATGCTAAGTTTCATAATTCAGTACTGTGTGGGTTTATGCACGGATGTAAGTAAATGCGTGTGTGTGCACGTGTGTGTGTGTGTGTGTGTGTGTGTATGTACGCACATAGTTGCATTTGTGCAACAACTGTGTCTGGCTATGTATTTTAATACCTATTAGAAGCCCTCATTCAATCATCTCCAGGTCGTTGCGTTATCAACCAAAGTCACAAGGATGAGATTACTAAATAGAAAGAGCTCAGTGGTGAATGAGCCAAAAAGACCTGATACTTCATGGGAAAACCATGTCTGGTTGTTACTGGAGCTTGGGGAGCTTGTTCATAGGTGTTTTTGTTCTAGACTACAGTGTTATTCCCATAATCATAAAATGCACAGAATTTGACAGAATTTGGTCGGTCTTTTAAAATAAACTTCGAAACAACTTTTAATCTTTTGCAGCTCAATAATCTCTTAGGTAAATGTTCAAGCTTTAATAAATGTTTTTGTTTGTTTGTTTCTTTGTTTTAAGATTCTTTGTAGCTCAGAAACCCACTGATGCTCTGATCCTCTTGCATCCAGCATGTGCTGGTGTGTGTGCTACTGCAGTGAGTCAGGAGTTCCATGTCCATTTTGTATTTCTTTAAATTTGGAGCATGAGCAATGATAAGAGCAAGACTTGACAAATGTATACTATACTTTCAGAACTGTAAAATAACAAAGCTGACATTTTAGAATGTGAAAGAAAATATCAACTATATTTTTCATTCATGTTCACAGGAAGTTCAACACAACTGCCAGCTTCATAGAATATCATTTTGCGCAGATGATAAAACTGACAAGAGGATATTCACTTTCATATGCAAAGATTCCGAATCAAATAAACATTTGTGTTTTGTATTTGACAGCGAAAAGTGTGTAAGTATGCCAGATGTTTTAGGGTGGTTTGTTCTTGTTTACAAGACATGGATTGTCATGCTTCCTACACTAACAAAGTATTTGGAAAAGAATAAGGCCTGCAATCACTTAACTGCACTAATAGATTCATCCTGTCATGAGAATAGGCTTCAGGATTCATCCTAACTAAATCTTATGTTCATTAGCAAATGCTTGCATGCAAGTTTCTTTCATTAGAGCGTCATGGCTACTTTTATTTGTTTTCAGACATCTCAAAATCATTTAGTTTATATTAAATTTTAATCTAAAAGTTATTGAGTAATATCTGCATGATACAAAGAGGAACAGTGGGCAAAATGAGTTTTTTCGGGAATATGATGACGTTTTTCCAATTAAAATTTTTCCAATTCTCTGAAAATTGGTTTTTGAAGCTTACTATTCAGAATATTTCATTGGTGTTGTCTCTTTTTGAGTGTGTGTGTGTGTGTCTGTGTGTACATGTGTGTGTACTGTGAATGAAAATTGGAAGTTCTTAGCAAGTAAGGACATTTAGGAAATTCTAAGTCATGTCCCAATTTCTTAATGATCCAACATCTTAAGTAAAACCCTGTGTGTTGCTTACAAGTATAAGCTAATTTTATTCATAACCAAGTCTGAGTTCTGTTATAAAACCTAAGATGTGAGTGCATATTGTAGCCATTAATGTTGTCAGTACAAAAATATTTAACCTCAGCAACACTGTTAGATTAAAATGAAAATAGAACTCAACTTATTTAGATTCTATTTTTCATTGTTCTCAAAAATAGAAAATTACTAATATTTTTATTAGGTACTTTATTTCTCTGTCTTTACCACATGGTCTATTTGAGAACAAATATCTGTTTATTTCGTATCTATTTCTTCTGTCAGGTAGATAACAGATGCTCAGTAATTTTATTTTCTGATGCAAAATACAATGTTAAAATTCATAATAAATATCAGCATTGTTATAGTTTTGCACTGATTTATAATCTTTCCTTGATACCCATCTAAATCTGTGATATGATCATAAAGCAAAAGTATGTTTCTCATAGATGTCATTACATTGTAAAAGCATACAGTTTTAAACCTCAAGGACATTTTATTAGAACTTAATTATTGAACTTATATGGAAGGCAAACTATAAATATCAGTAGCTGCCTTTAGAAAACGAATGGAAATAATGAAGGGATAAAACCCTGCCATTTGAATTACTGACAAGGAGGCTATACCACATGTGGCAGAGGAAGATATTGCAGAAGGAGTAAGGACATCCAAAGTATCAGAGAAGCCCAAAGTGTTGGGGAAAGCATGCTTAGAAAAAAGAAAAAAAAGAAAAAAATTAATGCTTTTCTGAGTAATTCATAAAATGGGCTGACTTACAAAGCAACATGATGTATTTCAGTAGGCTACTGCACAAGGATCCTGAAATTTTGGGAAAGGAAGATGTACTATTTCCTTAAAGAAATATTTATTCTGTCTATCTCTTCAACATGGTTTAAGGCAAACACATATTTCTATGGGTAGACACTTTTTCCCCCAAAATATTTGTTTTTCAGGATTGGAAATATTTAATAGTAGACAAACTAGAAATCAACATGAAAAGTATTAATTGAGAGAAAATCAAGTTTTAGATATTAAAAGAAATTGAATGTTCTATTACAAACTATGACTCTGTATGCATGTAACAGAAACCTTAAAATACTCAACCAAGTCCTCTAAGATATGCAATGAGAAATAGGCAAATCCACAATTACAAAGAAAGCTTTCTGGTCAATATGAGATGAAGGATTATTTTACTGGGTACTTCTTACATGAGTGTGAAATACATAAAAGTACTTCTTACATGTTTTCTGTAAAGCTATCAAAATTGAGTAATAAATTTGATGAATTATATACATTAAATAAAGTTTTTTGTACCTGATAAATAGATTAAAGATTTTTAAGCATCCATGAGACATTCATTAAGTATATATTACTATGCACCCACTCAAGTAGAAAGACAATAATAACAATGACAAGGATAGTTACCACCATCACTGTCCCAGGAACATGGGTAAGTGATGGCAAGATTACAATGGATGAGTGTTATTGTGGATTTGGCAAAAGCTCTTAAAGAATAGTTGTCTATATTCTTTAACATAGCAATTATCATTCTGATAATCTATCTTAAATGAATTCTATTAAACATAGGAGGAGAGAAACAAGATTATGAGAAAACAGTAGAAAAGCAAATGCAAAATAAATGAAGACTAGTCAAGCATGCCAAAACAATTCAAGAGAATATCATTTGCTATTAAAATGACATTAGTGGAGCATACAAAGAAAATGCTTTAAAGGCTAGAAAAGCACAGCATTAGACTGGTACATTTCACACAGCTCTATAAGCAACCCCGTTTTTAATGTAGTATCTCTTTAATGAAATAGTTATAAACTACCTTTTATGATTTAAAACAAAAGATGGAAAGGAAAAAAGAAAACCTATACCTACTACATTCCATTTTAGGTGGGTTTTTGTTTTGCATCCATTTTTGTAACATTCTATTTTATTGTAAACATGTATTTCTAAAAATATTTTTCTACTAAAATCACATAATCTTTATAGAATAGCAACCCAGCCTTTTGTACCATTTTTAAAAGACTATTTACATAAATGTTTGAGTTTAAGAATTTTTAAAGGCATTTTAGTATTTAATAATGAAAAACTTCCACCAAAACTTGCTTACCTTTAGCCCTGTGAATTAATTTCCATAAATAAATAAAAAAAATAAATAAATTACAAATTATGAGGTAATAAATATATAGAGTTAGTTTCTACCAAAGCCATAGAGTTACAAATTCTTTTTTTATTTCCTTGGGAGTAATTGTCATGTACACAGTGCTCTGCTGCATATTAGAGTTGCTGTAGATACTAAATATGACTTCACCTTAAAATTCTCAAAAATATTGGATATTTAAGTTGCTTAAATAAAGTCAGCCCATGCTGTGTGACAAATGCCTGGAATTAAAAAGCCACCATAGCAGCATACTGAGAACAGCTGATGAATATGTGTTCATTTATTCTTTTCTGTGAAGGTTGCTATTGTGCAATAGACCTCTAAAGGAAATGATAAAAACAAGCTAAGCCTGGGATAAGATGTTTGAAAACCTCGGAGAAGACAGAGGACCAATGTCAAGAACTTTCAGTGTTCTACAGTACACAATCCATCAAGTTATAAAATGGGCAAATGACAACATTTCATTGATGAGGAGAATCTATAGATAAGAAGTAAGCACATGAAAGACATTCCATGGTGGTGTTTATTAGGAAAACACAGTTTGAAAATCAAACAGAGACATTACCCCACAGTTATCCAAAAGGCCAAGCCTCCAAATGCTGATGAATATGTGGAAACTGTATGACTCATTGTAGCTGCTGGGATAAACAGCTCATGTGTCTTAAGAAACTTAACATGCAACTCTTGTGAACATTTTGGAAAGTCACAGCACAGAAACCAATGCTTAAAATACTCACAGAAAAATGAACCTGGTAATATTTACAAGTATGTATATATATGTATATGTTTGCATGAGTATAGCTTATTGCTAATAGCTCCAAACTACAATCATCCTTTAAAGTGGCTGAATAAACATTCTTTTGTAAATCCCAACCTCAGAGCCCTACTTAGCAGTGAAAAGGAATGAGCTATCAGTGCCTTCAGCAGCCTGATGGCTCTCTGTAGCATTCTAAAAAAGACAAAATTATAGAAAGGAACAAACTGATGTTTGCTCATGGTCTGAGAAGGTGAGAATAGGCTGGGGAAGAGTGCTTGTACAACAAGATGAAGGATAATCGTCACGGAATTTGTATTTTGGCCATATTATCCATACTCTATCTATGATTTGTACATAGTTTTGAGACATGGTACCATAGTAAAGGTCAAGATACAGGTTAACATGACTTGTCTATGCAAATTCTTATAATTTAAGGTAAATCTAAAACAATCACACACAAAAAAAATGTTGGTGACCTATTTGAAGCCAAATTGCTGGGAACTTCCCAGCATCACAGGGTTGCTGAGGAAGTCAGTGAGAGGGACATTGGTGATTGAAGTGGCAAAAGCTGCAAATGAGCAAATTTTTTTCTTTTCTAACTCTTTGCTATTCTGGGGCCAGAAACTGTTGTCCTCTGGGGACTATTAACACCTGCTGCTTAACATAGGGTCAAGGGTGGGGGAAGGCATAAAGTAAAGAAATTAGCTGTTATGGTCTGTCTATGCTTGGCCCAGAGAGTGGCACTATTGGAAGGTGTGGCCCTGTTGGAGTAGGTATGTCACTGTGGGTGTGGGCTATAAGACCTTCACCCTAACTGCCTGGAAGTAAGTATTCTGCTAGGATCCTTCAGATGAAGATGTAGAACTCTCAGCTCTGCTCCATGCCTGCCTGGACACTGCCATTATTCTACCTTGATGATAGTGAACTGAACCTCTGAACCTGTAGGATATCCCCGATTGAATTTGTCATTATAAGAGTTTTATCACAGAAGTAAACCCTAAGACTCTTTGGACTCTTTGGTCTTTCACTCACAAGCCCTTCATTGAGGCTCAGAGTTTTGTTAACTCACTGAGAGCCAGAGAAAAAGGACAAAAAATCACACATGCAGAAAGAAAGTCTTTTACTCAGGCATATATACATTCATACACACATATGCTTTGGTCAGTCCGATTACCTGTCTTATCTGCTATACAAGTGTTCATACATATTTACATATATACATATATGTATGAATATATAGCTGTTAATATATGTATGAATATATATGTATAAATATATAGACAGATGTATACATTTATACATTTGGATGGATGGGGCAGAGCCCCACCACCAAGCCACACACATATATTTGGTGAGTGGATGTGGCCGAGACCCAGATGCCAACCCTTTGTTCCTTTCCTCTGGCCTTTTCATGTTTTCTTAAGCAAAAGTTGCTTAGAAAATTACCTCATAAATAATATGTTACACAAAGAGTTATAGAAGGATATTGATAGTTAAGTTCAAAGCAGTGTTTTATTCTATAAGCTCATTGTAATTTCAAAGCAACAGTTTCACATGGCCTTGCTTTATTAAAATGCACACTTATGGATTCATCCATGGATCTGACCTAGAATGAATGTTTTTCCTTGGTCACAAATTTCTCCCAAGTTTATTTTCTTTTTACTGTAATTATGAAAGCTCATAGTATTTCTTATTATGCAGCCTTTATTTACTATTCTATGAGGAGTGGGCACATTCTATTCTTGATTCTGACTTTATTTAGTCCGTATTTCAGGCAAAATAGATAGTACCAAAAGAAACATCTCCCAAAATGTTTCTTTCTAAAATTATCAAATCAGGAATTTAATAAAGTCATCAATTCATCTAAGCAGCATTAATTCATGAAATTTCATCTTCATATTGATTTCAAGGAAATTTGCTCAATGGGCTGAGCTGATACCCATGAGTCATTAGCTGTGTAATAGTGATAGGAAAAGGCATATTCTGGTACCCTGCCTCTCAGAGCTCACCCATCGTTGGCAGGCCTCCCCCCCCCCCCAAAAATGGTGGGCCACATCCAAGAAAATTACCTGCTAGCCTTAGCCTCTCTTAGATGGCTCCTGGCACCAACGTTCCTCTTACTTTAAAGAAATATATGTCATGGGGATTCACTGATGACAGCAGACCCACAAAGCCAAGGAGGGACACAACTTTACTTTCAGCACTTGGAAGGCAGAGCAGGCAAATCTCTTGTGAGTTCCAGGCCAACCTTGTCCTGGATTCTTGATCTACTAAACATCACTGACTTACCTTATTCTGACAAAGACTGTATGTAAGCCATAAAAATCACTTCAGCTAATAATATTATCGGAGATATGTTTACAATAAGACTGACATTTACTATTTTGATCCAAGTATATAAAAGTTATTCAATTACTAGAAATATTTAGGACTATTGATATTGTCATAATGCTGACTGGATAAAAAAATAAAATTCAGTCTTGTTTTACTTTTTAAAATAATTTAAAAGGGGAAGGAATGTAGCTCAGTTAGTAGCATGCTTTCCTAACTGGTATGAGGCCCTACTTGCATTTGCCAGAGCACCATAGATCTGATAAAGTGGTCAATGCCTTTACTATCAGTACTCTAAAACCAGGAACCGTGAAAATTACAGAGCCTTGCTAAAAGTGAAGCTAAAAGTAACATTGACATGGATGATCATGTCCAATTCAGTGCCAGTCCCTTTCAATGGGATGAATCATTGACTTAAAAACAAATTCTCTAGAAAAAAATTTAATAGTAAAGGAAGAAAATTGAGGCCCATAATTTTAAAAAAATGGGATTCATTATAATAAATCTTAAGAAGGAAAAACTAATAATTCTATTTTCTCATGCTTTCTCTACCCATCCCCATATTGAAGTGTTGAAAACTTCATAGTTCTTTCTGTATTTGAGCTCCATAATTTCCACTATCTAATGAGAACCTCAGACAAACATATAATTTTGCAAAATTGCATTTTAACTATATGCCTTGTGGGAATGTTAATCATCCTGTCCTCAGAGCCATTATGGAAACTAAGTTTGTACCATGCACAGACATTTTATAATAGCTGTGTGTTCAAAAGAAATTAGGTGTTTTAAAAAGAGTATGATTGTCACAAAGTTGTTATGGATAGTTCACATGAAGTTGGATGTTATTGAAGATGAATCAGTGATGTTACCATTTGAGTTATCCTTTGTACTGCACCTATTAAATACTTGAGAAAAACATATAATCTTATTAAATAGAAAGAGAACTTCCATAATTTAAAATTTAGAAAACAAACACTGGAGAGATGACTGGCTGCTCTTCCAAAAGTTCAGAGTTCAATTTCCAGCACCCACATGATAGCTTACACTATCTCTAACTCCAGTTCCAGGTAATCTTGCTGGCCTTAGGGGATACTAGCATGCATGTAATAGACAGATGTAATATCCTCTGTGTCTGTGTGTGTGTGTGTGTGTGTGTATGTTTGTTATATATGTGTGTGGGTATGCATTTGTAATGTCACAAATTTGGAGGTCAAAGGACAGCCTGTGGGAGTTGGCTCTCTCTTTCCACTATGTGAGTTTTGTGGTTGAATTAAGGTTGTCAGGATTGACAGCAAGCACCAACACACTTTATGCCACTTTGTTGAACTTATAGGTTTTGGGTTTTTTTTTTTTAAAAAAAAAAAACACAGATTTTAACTTGACTCTGAGTAAATGTTAAGTTGATTGATGATACTTTTATTTACTTAATGGTTTATTTTTTCATAGCTCTATTTCCTTTGAAAATAGAGATCTCTATGATCTATGCATACATTTTATATTTTTATTTTGTATAGCAAAAGTCCTCCTTTAGTGCTTTGTTTTAGGTTGTTCATAATAGTTAAGAAGTATTACAATGTCAGTTTGTTAAAGGGGAATGTTTTTAATATTTAATATTATCACTATTTTCCCGTTATTCACAACAGGAATTTATCTTATTAAATATGGCATTTGTCAGTGCATTGTATCAGTTAACACCTTATTAAGACTTTTGGGGTTAATTAAGTAAATCACTTTTTCATGAATGCTTCATGCAAATGTCATGAAATTGCAGAGATTTGGATGAAGAAGGAATGAAGCTAGTGGACTTTAGATGTCTATAACAGTTTTTTTCTTGATAGAATGTATACCAGGTTCAATTCATATGACTGCTGTACTTTGTTCCATTATCATTATCATACAAGACTATGAACTGTTTATCATCACTGAAAATTAGGAGCTCTCATAATATTTTACATTTTGATCATCTCATCTGTTTACGAACTTGTTTGAAATTGTTCACTTCTATGAGGACTGTGAACCAATTGTATCTACTTTGCTCCTTTTGGAAAGGGCTTCCCTGGAGTTTTCTGGACCCTATCCAGGAGGCTTTAATCATGTTACCTGCCCAGAGTATAAAAACCTTCTCACTAGGAAAAGGAAACAATAGGCAAACAAGAGAATTCCCAGAATCTAGTTAAATGCTTATATTTAATTGGTAGTAGGTATTTAAAGAAGGGAGAAAAACAAAAGAAAGCTCTTCATTTTAAACAAAGCAGGCTGTATAGGGAACTTGTACAACTATCTCACTTTAATAACTGTTCACTGGTGGTCTCCTTGTACATGAGGATGTACTCTTGAGGATGAGGGGGTCGTCAGATTCTTATGCCAGTGCGGTTTACTTTGCTTGCCTGCTAAGTATCTAGCCCTGAACATCAGTACCCTTTCAGGGTACTTCCTACTAATGTCTCCTCCTAATTTGGGTGGGGGGCGTGGCATTAAATCATAGTTTGATGTGTTATTGTTAACATGAAGCTCTTCATTGTGTGTTTTTTACAAAGGCTGAAGAAATTACATTAACCATTGGCCAAGCATTTGACTTGGCATACAGGAAATTTCTAGAATCTGGAGGAAAAGATGTGGAAACAAGAAAACAGATTGCTGGAATGCAGAAAAGAGTGAGTAAGCTAAACTTCCTGTTATATCTTTGTCCGATGTGCATACTGGGAAGTTTGCATGTCATCAAACAAACTGAGACCTGCCAGTAATTGTCCCTCACAAGGCAGGAGCTGCTTTCACCATATTCCTATATTTCTTGGATCCTCTGCACAGTCTGTAACTGTTTTATATTGAATTCCCACAAGAACTTAGTATTCTCATGTGACTTTGCTTCACTTCCTGATGCTTCTCATGGGGATCAGAGCAGCAGAGGCAGCAGATGCTGGGTAAGTGGTTTCTCATGCAGATCAGATTCCTTGTAATTCAATTATGTGCTTTCTTCAGAGCCATCATGAGCAATTTTGTCTTATGGTTGTACTCCAAGATTATGGGTATAAATTGTACAGCGCAGCAAGTAAATACAGCGATGAACAGTAGGAACATAAAATTCACACACACAAGAATTTTTTTTTAATTTAATGTCTTTCCAATGACCTGGGTTCTTCTGATATTTCCCTAGCTTTTTCCAAATCATTTTATTCCTTGCGTACAAGATAATATTTGAATTTTAATAGAATAAAATGCTATTTGCTAATGTAGCTGAGAAAACAGCCAATATTTTCCAAGAAAAAATAATCCTGAAAGTTATTCAATAATTTTTTGATTTTTAGATCCAAGACTTAGAAACAGAAAATATGGAACTTAAAAATAAAGTACAAGATTTAGAAAACCAGTTGAGAACAACTCAAGTGTCCTCGTCTCCAGTAAGTACATTGAGCAAGCGTGTGATGTTATATCAAGACCCACTGATCATAAATACTGCACTAATTCAAATCATATTTTTTGGTTAATGACAAAACGAAATATGGATAGAGATGAAGATCATTCAGCAGAGTGATTTTTCATATTTAAATTTCATAGTTCAAAAGACAATTATTTTCATGGTATTCTTTTTGTTACCTCATGTTTTATAAAACAGTTTAAATCTCACTTTGATCATAAGGTTTAACATACTTTCACGCTGTGTGGCAAACTCTGTCTTTTATTCCTGCTGCTTACTGTTTACTGGGTTAGACACAATAGCCATGCAATCTGGCCCTGCAGTGCTGAACTTCCCTTTAAGAAATAGACCAAGAACAAGACCATGTACTGGATACACTTGCTTCAGACACTGAAATGAAGCGAGTGTTGTTCAGACATTATGCAAGCATTTGTCATGAAATCATTTTTGTCTGACCTGTTCCATTTTGAAATTCTTTCCTCAGTTCCTGGGATGATATCATTATTAAGTGATTTTGGCAAATGAGATTCTTTTTCATAGAAATAAACTTTGCTTTATTATTTTTTAATTTTTAAAAATTTTTATTGGTCATTTTGTTTATTAATATTTCAAATGTTATCCCCCTTCCTGGTTTCCAATCTGAGAACCCCCATCCTACCTGCCCTCCCCCTGCCTCCACAAGGGTGATGTACCCTCATGGCCACTTCTGCCCCACCGCCATAGCATTCCCCTATACTGCAGCATCAAGCCTTCACAGGACCAAGGGCCTTTCCTCCCTTTGATGCCAGACAAGGCCATCCATGGCTACATATGCTGCTGGAACCATAGGTCCCTCAAAGTGTATTCTTTAGTTGGTGGTTTAGTCCATGGGAACTCTGGGGAGACTCTGGTTGGTTGATATTATTGTTCTTTCTATGTGGTTGCAAACCTCTTCAGCTCCTTCAGTCCTTCCCCTGTCTCCTCCATTGGGGTCCCCCTGCTCAGTCTGATGGTTGGTTGCAAGCATCTGCATCTGTATCTGTAAGGCTCTGGCAGAGCCTCTCAGGAGTTCACTATATCAGGCTCCTGTCAGCAAGCACTTCTTTACATCAGCAATAGTGTCTGGGTTTGGTGGTTGCATATGGGATGGATCCCCAAGTAAAGCAGTCTCTGGATGGCCTTTTCTCTACTCCACTCATTGTCGCCATATTTTCTTTAGATAGGAGCAATTCTGGGTTAAAATTTTGAGAAGGATGGATGGCCCCATCCCTCAACTGGGGGCCATGCCTAACCTCTGAATATGGTCTCTATTGGACTTGAAGACCCAGCTATACCACTCCTGGGCATATACCCAAAAGATGCTCCAACATATAACAAGGACACGTGCTCCACTATGTTCATAGCAGCCTTATTTATAATAGCCAGAAGCTGGAAACAACCCAGATGTCCCTCAACAGTGGAATAGATACAGAAAATGTGGTACATTTACACAATGGAGTACTACTTAGCAATGAAAAACAATGACTTCATGAAATTCTTAAGCAAATGGATGGAACTAGAAAATATCATCCTGAGTGAGGTAACCCAATCACAAAAGAATTCATGTGGTATGTACTTACTAATAAGGGGATTTTAGGAAAAAAGGTCAAAATGCCAATGATACAACTTACAGACCATATGAGGCTCAAGAAGAAGGAAGACCAAAGTGTAGACGCCTCATTCCTACTTAAAAAGGGAAACAAAATAATCATGGGAGGTAAAGGGAGGTTGTGGGACTTGTGATGAAGAGTGGATGGGGGAGAGAAAAAAGGGGGCAGTATCAGGTGAGGGAGGAGACAGGGGAGATGTACAGACGGTCAGGAAATTCAACAGAGGTGTGTACTAGTGGGTGATGGGGAACTGGAAAGTCCCAGACGCCAGGAAGCAAGAGGCTTCCATGACCCAATGGGGATAACAGTAGCTGAAATATCCAACAAAGCGGGGAGAGAAGTACTCTCTGAAGATATATTTTTTTTCTAGCAAAAGTGTATTTAGGACTGGAGATTTTTCCTGTTAATCTGTACCACTAATAATCTTAATGAATGTACTTTATTCACACTAAATTTAACTTATAACATGGTTATGTGAGTTGAACTCAATTGTGAGACAAGTAAATTGTAAGAATTTTGACAATTTTTATCTATAATATGTATAATTATATATCTATAATTTTATAGACTTAATATCATAATGATTTCCCAGTTCATCACCATGAAGAAGGATGCTTCAAACTAGCATGCCCTAGATGTTGGTCTTTTTTTTTTTCTTTTACTCTAAGCTCATGTTTTTCCTTCCTCTGTGTTGAGAGAGTTGGTATGACCATTGCTTGACAGCATTGATAACAGTCACCTGCTATATCTGAGCAGAGAAAGGCTGGGGGCTCCTGATACAGACAACGTGCTCACTGGGTTGTGTACTTTTAAGTATACACTAGGAGAGAACACCACACAGAGTTCCCACAGAGTGATCTGGAACTGAAATTCTGGACACGTTGTACTTTTTTTTTTTTGCTCTGAACTCAGAAATAAAATATAAAATGCTTGTAAAATGGTTAAACTTGCTGGCAGTTTGATTAAAGAAATAGAGACAATGGTCTATAAAGTAACTAAGGAAATACCGTAATTGACTAAGGGCCCCATTATCCACATACAAAAATAGAAGTGAATTTTATGTACACAATTACATTGTCATGGGATGCTAAATGAGTTTTCATTGTGTTTGTGCTAAGTGGAGCAACCCCCTGCCCCAAACAGATGGCCTCACCACTAACCATCCCAACAGAGGATGTTCACATTCCTAAATTCCACTCAGTTAGCTAAGTCACAGGTTCCTTTTCTGGCCAATCAAATAGAACTTTATATTATTCATTTATGTATCTCCTTATTATGTCAAGATTGTGGAAAACTTATGTTGGTTTCAGAAATTGGTCCTTATGCTAACGTATCATTTAGAAACACTGAGAAATTTCCATTCCTTGACTCCATGGTTTGCTTTTCTACCCTGTGTTCTCATGGTTTGGCAATAGATGAGAGGCTGGGTTTTCTGCCATTTGGGACTAATCATCTAGGAACAATCTGATTTCCATTTATTATACTCACATGTCTGTGTTGCTTATATTTATATTTGAAAAGAGGGTTTATTCTGCCCTCTTGGCCTCATGAACACCTTCAGAAGTTTGTTCCTTTATAAAATTTGGGCACACCAAGTTAAGTCAATTTTTTCCTGTTGGTTCTTATGTCTAGGGACTTGCATTTTAACTTCACTAGTTCCACAAGCTTTCAAACAAATCAAGCTATTGCCAGAAACTTAAATGAAAAGAAATTGTAGTTTGGAGTAGTACTGTCTATTGCTGGGTAAAACAAATGTCTCCCTTTCAGTATTAGATAAAATTCTGCTTTTACATAATCAACTGTGTGGCCACTGATTAGATTTCATAAGACAATTACAACCTAAAATGTGTATTTTGTTACAGGTAAACAAGCTTGATTATTTATCTTTTTTTAGTGCTTTCCCAACTACATTTGAATTAAAGCTAGGCAAGAGCACATTATGAAAACTCTCAATTACACAACAAACTAAATGTGAGTCTCTAAGCAAAGTCATGAAGTTTAAACAGGAACATCAGTAAGGAACATCTGATGCCCAGAGGAAATGTTTACCAGCTCTTGGCTGCACATTGCGCATTGTTGACTGCATAGAGATGACCCAGGGACTAACCCTGTATAATGGGAAGCAAGTATGTTTTCTTTCCAGTTCTGTTGAGTTATACCTGCTCACAGCATTGAACCTCTGTTTCAAGATTCTTTTGGTGATTTGTGGCTAGGAAAATCATAACCATTTGACTTGCATGAATTTTAAAGGAAATATAAGGTAATAGATCTTACAATTAGAAATTATAAACCCACATTAAGTCTACAAAACTGAAATAGTATTTTCCTGATGGTATAAGCGTTACTCTTAAGGCTTATCTTTTAAAGTAATGTTAAAAATGTGTAAAGAGCAGTTAACAATTGCTGAGAGTGAAACAATTAGTCCTCCCCATGGATGAATCAGTACTTAGCCCTGAAAACATAGAAGTACAAACAACACACAATCGACTCAGTATGCTGCACCTATACATTAATGCATTTATATAGCAATATAACATATGTAACAATAATAAATTTTACATTAGTTTGAGAGGTATGAGGTATGGAAGAAAATTGAGGGGGGAGTGGGAGTGGGTAAGTGATGTAATTATATTTTAATTTTAAAAATCTAAATTAGATAAAGCACCATAAAAATGAATTTTAGGAGTATTAGGCAACATGGCAAGCTGGAAACTGATCAAAATACAGCTTCCACCCAGCTTTACACCGCCCTGCTGCCACGGAGCTTCCACCCAACTCTACCCCGCCCTGTCTACCCCGACCTGCTGCCACGGAGCTTCCACTCAACTCTACCCCGC